TTTTTTTTTAATTTTTTTTTTCAACATTTATTTATTTTTGGGACAGACAGAGACAGAGCATGAACGGGCGAGGGGCAGAGAGAGAGGGAGCCACAGAATCGGAAACAGGCTCCAGGCTCCGAGCCATCAGCCCAGAGCCCGACGCGGGGCTCGAACTCACGGAGTGCGAGATCGTGACCTGGCTGAAGTCGGACGCTTAACCGACTGCGCCACCCAGGCGCCCCTGTTTTGCACTTTTAAATTATTCATGGAACAGCATGAGCAAAGGCATGATAGCAGAAGGGTTGCTAATAACCACAGCTACCGTTCACTGAGCACTCAGTATGTGCGAGGCACTGTTCCAAATGCAGTACGTACGTTATCCCGTTTAATCCTCACAGCTCAACCAGGAGGAAAGGGATACCATTATTCCCGTATGACCCATGAGGAAACCCAGGATTAGAGAGGTAACATCACTTGCCCAACAGGCCATGATTAGTAAATATTATCTGAAGCTCTTTTTTTGCCAAATTTAAAAGACACCTGCGTAGCGCAATAATTTTAAATCTGCACTGACGAGCACACAAAGTAGTAAGACGTAATTTGTATGGCAGTGACAGCACGAAGAAGGGAGGTGAGAAAGGAGCTGGATAGGAGCAAAGTTTTGTCTAATATTGAAATTAAGCTGGGATTCATCCGAACTAGATTGGTGTAAATTGGGACACTAATTGTAATCTGTAAGGTAACCACTAAGAGAATAACTCAAAAAAAAAAATGGTAAAATAGATGACAAGGGAACAGAAATGGCACCGCAGAAAATATCTATGCAACGGAACAGAAGACAAAGATCTCCAAGAGGTACGTGCACACCTATGTTCGTCGCAGCGTTATTCACAATGTGCTCAAGGCCCGGTAACTAGGAGGAGGTAGAATTGAGAAATGAACCACTCTATACGTTTGCAGTATAGGGTACGTGTGCGTGCGTGCACACGCGCGTGTGTGTGTCTGACTCTAAAGCCTGTGCCGTCAGCTTCTAGCACTACCTCTCCCCTTTAATATATGGTTGGGAGTTGGTGTTACTGTTGTTCATAACGAAATTACTTAAAAATAGGTAACACGTGCATATGGTACATGATGCAAAAAGGTGGGGAAAAAAAGAGCGAAAAGTAAATCTAATACAAATAGTCTCCTTCACGCTCCTGTCCCCCAGCCCCCCCGAAAACCCACCCAGGACACAACCACTGTTCCCAGTTGCTTTTCAAATCAAAAACTTTTTTTTTTTTTACTTTGACAAAACTGTGTCTTGACACCGCATCATCGCAAAGTCCATGTAAACCTGAGCCGTGTAATTATGGATTTCTACTCGAATTTTTGAATTTCTCTGTGTAAAACATGCTTCACAATCAATCTCACGGAAAACATGATGAAAACAGCTCATAGCGCATTGGGAATGCTAATGCTTTTCTCAGACATTGATTGTTCAATTTGGCTCATCAAGCTTAGTGATATGATATATTCTAATTCTTTTACATTTTCTTTTTTTTTTAATTTTTTTAACGTTTTTATTTATTTTTGAGACAGAGAGAGACAGAGCAGGAGCAGGGGAGGGGCAGAGAGAGAGGGAGACACAGAATCCGAAGCAGGCTCCGGGCTCCGAGCTGCCAGCACAGAGCCCGACGCGGGGCTCGAACTCACGGACCGTGAGATCATGACCTGAGCCGGAGTCAGACGCTTCACTGACTGAGCCCCCCGGGCATCCTTTACATTTTCTATTTCTATGATGTAACTTCTTTTTACAGTAAGATGGAACATCTGTGTGATGAACGCTGGGCCAGTATTAGTCCTCTTAAGCCACGAAGACAGTTTCAGAGACAATTTGTATTTAATTTCCTCTACAGTGCCTAGGATAATGCCTTAAACAGGGTAAGAACGAAAGCAAACGCAACCAAAAAGACCACGCTGGGTGTGCCGAAGGAGTAACGAACTACAGCAGAGAACAGCGGACGGTTTGTGGACTGGTTCCTGCACGTGCTGCCCCTTGTAGTACAACCCAGTGTAATGACACTTGCACAATGGCACTTTGCTGCCAAATTTATCCAGGGTGGGATTCATTTGAGTCTTGAACTTGAAGCAACAAAGAGCTGAAATATCGTCAAGGACATTGCTTTCTTACATAAATGTAATAAAGCATTCACCTCAGAGAAGACCACCCATTCTAGTTCCCTTGAAAACAGTTTCGGGAAAAGCAGATGGCTCTAGTCAAGGTGGGGAGGGGGAGGGGACTGCATTGTCCTTACTTTAAATAAGTCAAAAAGTCTGAGGTTCCTGTATTTGATGTGCAAACTCGTGATGTTCAATCCTCTCAATGATCTCCTCTTTTTCCCCGGAGTTTCAAGGAAAACAAGCCACATGGAGATAAAAGGTTATGGGTCTACAGAATCTATCACTGCGTTGCCTCATTCACGGCATCATGCACAGCCACAGAGCATTCTTAAAGCATTTTGCTCTCCCTTTGTCACCAATCAGCATATAACGTAACTGAGTTTACTATGTATAACTTTCATTATAGGACCTCTTCCACTATGGGGACACACTTCTAGCATCAAGGACATGGGAATTTTGTAACAAATAGGAACTAAAGTACGTGACAATTAAGATAGAATCCACTAGTTTTTCCTTAAAAAACAAAAAAAGTGGGGCGGGGGGGGAGGTGGGGAGCCTGAGTGGTTCAGTCGTTTAAGCATCTGACTCTTGATTTCAGCTCAGGTCATGATCTCGTGGTTCGTGGGATCGAGCCCGGCATCAGGCTCCTGGCTGACAGTGCGGACCCTGCTTGGGACTGTCTCTCCCCCTCTCTCTCTGCCCCTCCCCCACGTGTGCTGTCTGTCCGTCTGTCTGTCTCTCTCTCTCAAAATAAATCAACCTTTTTTAAAAAGACCTTTCCTTCCTAACATCAAGGAAAGAATATGAGAAATGAAACGTGCTATGGACTGAGTTGTGTCCCCCTCCCCAAATTCATATATTGAAGCACTGATCCACAACGTAATGGTATTTGGGGGTGGGGCCTTTGGGAGGTGATTAAGCTTAGATGAAGCCTTCATGATGGGATTAGTGCCTTTATGAGAGGAGACACTAGAGAGTTTACTGTCTCTGCCTGCCATGTGGGGAAACAGCAAGACTGCAGTCGTCAACGAGCTAGGAAGAGACTTCTCACCAGGACACAACCCTGTTGGTGCCCTGATCTCCAACATTTCCGCCTCCAGAACTATGAGAAATCAAATGTGTATTGTTTTGTTTCAGCCTCCTCCCCCCACTCTATGGGATTTTTTTTTACATTTATTTTTGAGAGACAGAGACAGCACAGGTCGGGGAGGAGCAGAGAAAGAAGGAGACACAGAATCCAAAGCAAGCTCCGGGCTCTGAGCCGGCGGCACAGAGCCCACAGAGCCGGACGCGGGGCTCGAGCTCACAAACTGAGATCATGACCTGAACCGAAGTCAGACGCCCGACCGCCAGAGCCACCCAGGCGCCCCTCCAGTCTATGGATTTTGGTAGGGCAGCCCGAGCTGACTAAGGAGATGAAACCCTAAGTGAGTCAGCACTTCATCAGCGAGGTTCTGTGGAAAGATCCCAGGACGGGATGCAGGGGGGACATTCGGTTATATATAGCGCTCTATTACTGACATCCCACGTGACCTTGAACACTTGCTCCCCGGCTTGCCCACCAAGCCCGCACGTCTGTAACTAGGGGGCTGACGGCGCTACTCACACAGCCACTGTGCGGCCCCACCCACTCCCCCTTGGACAATGACTCTACCCCCGAACTGCAGTCACTAATGACACTGCAGTCACTAGGGGAGACGGGAAGAAAGAATCACAGAAGGCAGCGACAAGGGGACTGACACAGGTGGTGCCTAAATTGCCATTCTAATATGGTATATAATGCAAGATGTATAACTGAGATGAGCGTTTATGAAATGTGCTCCAAGACCGAAGATCAAAATTCAATACAGCAGCACCCTGGCTATCTCTTTGCACTCGAGGCTACGCTGTACAAAGAGAGAATGCTGCCGCTACAGAAACTCCTCTCCCTTCGACCCTTCATTATCGCCTACGATGATTTCTCCAAGACGAAGTCTAAGGAAGAGTGTAATTGCATAGAGAACGGAGAACGTGCAATGCTCACCCAGGACATAATAGTGCCGTCAGCAAAAAGTTTGTCTTCCATTTAACACCTTTAAGTGCTGAGGAAGGAAAAGACAGAAGAGTTACTGTCGCAACTTGATTCAGTCCACTTTAAACCTGCTTTATAACCAGGACACAAGTACCTTTGGATGGGTCGGCTAAAATGCCCCATGCGATTCTCAAATGTTGTGTTTTACGGCCTTTTAATTTCTACACTGAACGCATGAACTTACTGGAATGAGAGCAGATGTAATGCTTACTCTTATACATTCTTGCAGACACATATCCGGCAGGGGTTCCCAGAAGGACCCAGAGTACAACGGCACAGGTCATTAAAGCGCCTCGGTTGGAGGGGGATAGAAAACCAAGGCAGGCCAGAACTAAAGGCACAAAAAAGAAATATCAAACCAGTTACGATCATAGCCTCAGAAGCACACAAAGACTTTGTAATAAATTAAAGACCCACTGATTAAGACATATTATGTGTAACAGCACACAAGGATATTCTGTCATGTGAGATCTTAAGTGACACCGTGAATGTTATTCACTTAACTAATGACAATTTTGTCTTAATGAAAAGGTGTGACTTTCAAGACAAGGCAAGTGAAGTTCAGTTTCCAAGTTGGATCTAGTCTTTACCTCACCATTTAAATCAAAACTAAATAAACGATCCCCCCTACTCTAGTATCATTCCGTAAACAGAAAATCATTTTCCCACAAAAATTTCCTTCTGCTTCCTTGTATTCAAGGGGAAGAATAAAGAAAAGATCAAAGCAGTGGGGCACCTGGGTGGCTCAGTCGGTTAAGCATCCGACTTTGGCTCAGGTCAGGATCTCATAGTTTATGAGTTCGAGCCCCATGTCAGGCTCTGTGCTGACAGCTCAGAGCCTGGAGCCTGCCTCAGATTTTGTGTCTCCCTCTCTCTCTCTCTGCCCCTCCCCTGTTCTCTCTCTCTCTCTCTCTCTCTCTCTCAAAAATAAACATTAAAAAAAATTTTTTTAAATCAAGGCGAGACTTGGTCTCAGGAAAATACAATCTTAAAAGCTGAATTTTGAAGTTAGCACTGACATCTGAAACACCTAACAAGCCTTTTTTTTTTTTTTACAGCAGCCTTGTTTATGAAAATCACCACTCTGGCCATCAAAAATTGACAGGCTCCATTTTTACTTTATACATGAAGGCAGCCAGGGTTCAACAGCCATTGTGAGCCTCCTAAAGATGCCAGTCTGTTTATACGTTTAAAGACCAGCACTTAGGCTTGCCACAGCATTTCAAAATGCTAGTGTTTAATTATGAATTCCCTTAGTCCACTTAAAATATGATTCTACCCACATGCTGATTTTCAAGAAAGCTTCTCTTTTGCAAAGCAAGGACTTTGTGTATTGGACAGCGCAATAAATTATTCACAACTGAAGAAGCCATGAAAGGTCCCGGAGACAGGAACGTATTCAGACTCCTATCCTTAATTTGAGAAGATAGAATTGTAAGTACCATAAAACATACATTTTCTTAAACTTTAGGGTATTTTCAAAGCCCTTTTGTACACGTGGATCAAAATTTAACATACGGCAACAGTTCACTAAGAATGTTTAAGATGACGCATATCGATCTGAGCCTACTTACGTAAGGTGATAAACGTCATGATCAAAACTTGTGTTCCTTGGCCCAGGAAAACTGACAGCAACATTCTACTCCTTGGTGGTCTGAATACATCCCCATGAAGCAGCTTCCAACCAAAGTCCTCCTGGGCGTCTTCCTACATATGAGAAAATCTTTGGTAAACACACTGTGGCAGAAAGTTACCAGAACTCTCAAAGTTAGATGGAAATGAATTTTCCTCTAAAGACAGACTAACTGGAAGCCAATGGCTCATTCAGGATACAGCAGCCCTCTGGAAGGTAGGTGATCCTGCCATCCAAATGAGGCACTCCCTTACTCTAAGATTTGCATTAGAGGGAATGTGTTCCTCATATAAAGAACACACCTGGCTTAATTGCATGAAGAAAGTGAAATGATTTAATACACAGAGGGAATCCGGCCAATTTTTATAGAAATTTAAAATTCGGGGCACCTGCGTGGCTCACTTGGTTGAGCGTCTGACTTCGGCTCAGGTCATGATCTCATGGTGTGTGAGTTCGAGCCCCGCATCGGGCTCTGTGCTGTTAGTGTGGAGCCCGCTTCAGATCCTCTGTTCCCCCTCTCTCTGACCCCACCCCTGCTTGCACTCTCTTTGTCAAAAATAAATAAACCTTAAAAAGAAAAGAAAAACAAAGGATTCTCTTTTTTTAAAAAAAAAGAAATCTAAAATTCACCAATACACAGATGATTATAAGAGTCAAAACAGTATAAATGAGATAAAACTAAATTTAACCTCAAAAAAAATGTATTAAAAAAAAAAGAGGGGTGCCTGAGTGGATCAATCGGTTAAGCGTCTGACTTCGGCTCAGGTCATGATCTCACAGTTTGTGACTTCAGGCCCCGCATCAGGCTCTGTGCTGACAGCTCAGAGCCTGGGGCCTGCTTCCCATTCTGTGTCTCCCTGTCTCTCTGCCCCTCCGCCGCTCACACTCTGTGTCTCACTCTGTCTCTCAAAAAATGAATAAATGTTAAAAAAGATTTTTTTAACTAAATTTAACCCAAATGATAACATTTTGCAATGTTTGATACATTTATCTCATACTCCAAATTAATGGAAACATTAAGTAATACTTTAAAAGTTCAGAAACATATAAAAAGGAATAGAACCAGAGTGGGTAACAAATACCTCTCTAATAAACTGACTTCTACTTTTACAGAGCATACCCAACTCTATACTTTCTGATAAAACCTACGCAACTCTATACTTTCTGATTTGGTATAATAGGTTAAATTGCTAGACGTCGAAATGTGCTGTATTCGAGGTATTATATGCCCTAAGTAAAAATATAACATTGACAAGTGGACAGAGTAGGCATTCAAATATTTGCTGAATCAAATATGTGCATTTTTACTTACAGAATAACTCATCTCATTGTATTTGATAATATCTCTATGAAGAGTCCTCAATATAATTATAGCCACCATGCCAGATAAGAAGAGAATGATAACAAAGGAATTCATAATACTAGAAAATTTAAAGAAGAAAAAAGAGAAGTTAAACGTCAAGTTCCATATTTAAACAGTGAGAAGAAAATGTGGGTACATATAAAAGAAAGGCATTCAAATTGTCATCATGTTGATCACTTTTCCAAGGTTAAACTTAGATCAAAAGCTGAATACATCAGTATATTAAATGAACTTAATATATTATAATACACAATATATTGATATTATGTATTAATACACATAATCCACAAAACTGTATTACAAATAAAGCAATATAGGGGCGCCTGGGTGGCTCAGTCTGTTAAGTCCGACTTCAGCTCAGGTCATGATCTCACGGTTCGTGAAGTCAAGTCCCACATCGGGCTCTGTGCTGACAGCTCAGAACCTTCTTCAGATTCTGTGCCTCCCTCTCTCTCTGCCCCTCCCCCGCTCATGCTCTGTCTCTCTCTGTCTCAAAAATAAACACTAAAAAGAAACAAAACAAAACCAAATAAAGCAATATAAACAACATTATTCTTCAGGTGATTTTAGAATTTTTTAAGGGTACATTCCCAAAAAGAAGCAAGAAGTAAATAAGATCAATTAACAGAAACTCAATTCCAGAGCATGGAACTGAGAATGAAAGTCCAGGAATCAAGGTTGAACTAATGGCTGACTGACTTCTTAACTGATAGACCAAGGTTGTGGTCTTTTTATGAGCTTCAGGGTAATGACCCCATGGTCACTGTACTTCCCAGCTCTTACTGTTTCTAAAATTTAAACTTCAAAATTATTCCCAAATCAAAACCAATCCCTTCTGCCATCCCACCACCCAGCCAAACCCGAACACATCAACAAAGCTTCACCAGAATCTGAAAAGACCAACACTGTTCTAGAAAGATGCCAATAAGGAGGAGCCTGGGTGGCTCAGTCAGTTAAGCATCTGACTTTCCCTCAGGTCATGATCTCACAGTCCGTGAGTTTGAGCCCCACATCAGGCTCTCTACTGTCAGCGCGGAGCCCATTTCAGATCCTCTGTCTCCCTCCCTCTCTCTCTGCCCCTCCCCCGCTTGTACTCTCCCTGTCTCTCAAAAATAAATTTAAAAAAAGATGCCAATAAGATGATTGATGTCTATGGTTGCCAGAGAGGAGGTAGTATGGGGGGATGGGCAAAATAGATGAAGGAGATTAAGAGGTGCAAAGATCCAGTTATAAAACAAATAAGTCGGGGGCGCCTGGGTGGCGCAGTCGGTTAAGTGTCTGACTTCAGCCAGGTCACGATCTCGCGGTCCGTGAGTTCGAGCCCCGCGTCGGGCTCTGGGCTGATGGCTCAGAGCCTGGAGCCTGTTTCCAGTTCTGTGTCTCCCTCTCTCTCTGCCCCTCCCTCGTTCATGCTCTGTCTCTCTCTGTTCCAAAAATAAATAAACGTTGAAAAAAAATTTTAAAAAAATAAAATAAAATAAAAATAAAACAAATAAGTCACTTGTGGCTGCCAAAGGGGAGGGGGTGTGGGGGGATGGGCAAGATGAGTGCAGGGGGTGGGAGGTGCGGCCTTCCAGCTATGGAATGAATAAGTCACAGGGATAAAAGGTACAGCATAGGAGGGGCGCCTGGGTGGCTCAGTCGGTTGAGCGTCCGACTTCAGCCCAGGTCATGGTCTCATGGTTCGCGAGTTCGAGCCCTGAGCCAGGCTCTGTGCTGACAGCGCGGAGCCTGCTTGGGATTCTCTGTCTCCCACTCTCTCGACCGCTCCCCTGCTTGCGTGTGCACACTCCCATGCTGAAAATAAATAAATTTTTTACATTTATTCATTTTGAGAGACAGAGAGAGAGAGCATGAGTGGGGAAGGAGCAGAGAGAGAAAGGGAGACATAGAATCCAAAACAGGCTCCAGCCTCTGAGCTGTCAGCACAGAGCCCGACGTGGGGCTCAAACCCACAGACCACGAGACCATGACCTGAGCTGAAGTCGGACGCTTAACCGACTGAGCCACCCAGGCGTCCCTCTCAAAATAAATAAATAAATAAAAACTTTCAGGGGCGCCTGGGTGGCTCAGTCAGCTAAGCATCTGACTCTTGGTTTCAGCTCAAGTCATGATCTCACGGTTCGTGGGTTCGAGCCCCATGTGGGGCTCTGAGCCGACAACGTGGAGTGTGCTTGAGATTTTCTCTCCCCCTCTTTCTGCCCCTCTCCTGCTCGTGCTTTCTCTCTCTCCCTCAAAAATAAACATTAAAAAAATTTTAAAGATGACTGATGTCTAAAACGTCTGTTAATGTGGTAAGTGAATTAGATCATGGCTGAAACAAAGTACATTCCTTATTATGCTATAAATACGAATACTACTAGAGATTAGCCCCCACAGTGTATCTGGAGGCCCTTTGGTCTCCCAATCCCTTTGGAGAAACCATTTAAATAAATTTTACCTGAGGAGACTTCTGGGGATGTGAGAAAATGGGACCTGGACAGTTGCCCAAACAGAAGACTCTGGAAAAGCTACCATATGGTCATAATAATGAGGAGGCGGAGGAGGAGGAGGAGGAGGAGGAGGAGGAGGAGGAGGGGGGAGAGCAGGAAGACACGAAGGAATAAGTGTAGAAACACAGTAGCGGGGGGTGTTATTCTCACTCAAAAGGCAATGGGTATATAAGGAGGGTCATCACCTCAAGAGACCATACTCGGAACCACACCTTCCCTCACTTTCATTTTTACTTTCATAGTCTTCTTCCACCCCAAACTGACCTACCCCCCGACCTCCCTCAGCACTTGGCCACAGTCACGCCCAATCGTCACGTTCTCAACTGGTTCCTCCCTCCATTTCAGGCTGAAACTTCCACCTCTGCGGTTTGGCCCTGTTGAAGGTTCCCGAGCGATCAAGCGCGTGTCCTCTGCATCCACCCGAACATAAAGCCTCGTGGGAGCAGAAGTCCGTCTGCCTCCCTCGCGCCGTCCCAGAGCCCAACAGGGCGTCTGGCCGCCTCGCAGGGACGAGGAAGCACACCAGTGGCATGAGCAGCCCCTCCCCGACACACCTTGTCCCCCACACGGTCCTCTCTGTCACCGGCCCCGCTGAGGGAATGAAGGGCCCCTTGAAAGGTCTTGGTGTCTCACATGTAATGCCTCCACCTTCCTCCTGGCCCTCTTCCTCAGACTTTCTGAACCCAGGAGCACAAGTCTCTACTGTGTTTTCCTCTCATCTCGCGCGCGGTGTCCCCTTCCGCAGTCACACCCTGCCCACTTCGCGTCCCCCCGTGCTCTTTGCAGGCTGCAAGGCACCTCTCAAGACACCTCAAGCCGCTCTTCCCTTCGGCATACGCAGGCGTGTATTTAAGGCCCGTCTTCCTTTTTCTCTTTCTTTGTGCACGTGGAGAGGTGTGTGCGAGGAAGGAGAGGGGAAACCAGCTACGGGGAGGAAAAAGGTGTCACTCAAGATCATCTCTGGTAACAAAATAGCTTTTTAAAACACATAGGTATATAGATCTGACCACTCATGGGTTCGACCCCCGCGTCCAGCTCCTTGCTTTCAGCCCAGAATTTTCTCTCTGCTTCTCTCCCTCTCTCTCTTAAAATAAACTTAAAGATATAGATATAGATATAGATATAGATATAGATATAGATATAGATATAGATATATACATATAAGATATATATATAAGATATATATATAAGATTTATATAAGATATATATAAGGTATAAATATATATATAAATATGTATATTTAATACAAATATATATTTACATTTCTCCTACTGAAGCTACCTACTCTTTGTTTTATAAAGTACTTACCTGGGGGGGGCGCCTGGGTGGCTCAGTGGGTGAAGCGTCCGACTCTGGATCAGGTCATGATCTCACGGCTCGTGAGTTCGAGCCCCGCGTCGGGCTCTGTGCTGACAGCTCAGAGCCTGGAGCTTGCTTCAGATTCTGCCTCTGTCTCTCTGTCCTCCCCTACTCACTCTCTGTCTCTCTGTCTTGCTGTCTCTCTCTCTCTCTCTCTCTCAAAAATAAACATTTAAAAATACATACATAAATACATACATACATACATACATAAAATAAAGTAGTTACCTAGAAGCATCTGGCTGGCTCAGTCAGAAGAGCATGCGACCCTTGACCTCAGCATGCTGAGTTCGAGCCCCATGTTGGGCAGAGGTTACTAAAGAAAATAAACTTAAAAATAAAAAATAAAGTACTTACCTCAACCACTGAATGTTGGTATGAGGCATGGAATCCAAAATGTAGTCCCACCTAGATGCCCACTTGATGCTTTTGTTTTCCTAACAAACAAAAATATACAGTTATATGACCAAACTTCTAGTGACTTTTGCTGGTTATAATCCTAAAACAGACAGAAAGTTATTCTGCATACATTTTCGCCTTTTCTTTACTACTAACTTCCTGGAATAGTAAGATGTGTCCTGACATTTTTATCTTATTTTTATTAAGTGATATTCTTCTTCATTTCAGGAAGGAACTAGGAAGAAAGTACTTGTAGCTTGCCACTGTTCACCAGAAACAGCACCTTTAAAAAAAACAGACTCAGTATTTGTTTGTTTACTTATTTATGTAATCTCTATACCCAACATGGGGTTCGAACTCACAACCCCAAGATCAAGAGTCGCATGCTCTTCTGACTGAGCCAGCCAGGTGCCCCTACATTTTTATATGTTAAGTATTTTGAGATGTCGTAGCAACAAGTTTATAAAAGATGCTTTGTTTTTAAGTTTTGTAGTTTTCAATACTGAATAAACCATAAGAAAATACAATGACTGGGGTGCTTGGGTGGCTCAGTCAGTTAAGCATTCGCCTCTTAATTTTGGCTCAGGTCATGATCTCACGGTTTGTGGGATCAAGCCTGGAGTCGGGCTCTGTGTTCACAGCATGCAGCCTGCTTAGGATTCTCTCTGTCCTTTTCTCTCTTCCCCTCTCCCTCTTCTCTCTGCCCCAGCCCTGTTCTCTCTCTCTCTCTCTCTCTCTCTCTCTCTCTCTCAAAATAAATAAATAAACTTAAAAAAAGAAAGGAAATACAATTACCAATCAAGCTGTTTCTGTGACATGTGATCAACCTCAAACTGTCCGTAGCTTTCTTACAAAATATCCCCAATAGATGAAGTTCAGAACTGGGAATCCCCAATAAACACTTACACCATTAATACAGTGTAATCACCACTCAAATCAATAATATGCTTTTAGCAAAAGGAAAATGCTGGTACAAATTGACTAATGTTTGAAATGACTTATTATTCTAAACTGGGTGTTAGGTGTTTTTCCCGAAGTTTAGAGTTGGAGTATGGAGAAAAATTAATATACACTGCTTTTTTTCCTACTTTTTTTTTAAGTAGGCTCCACACTCAACATGGGGCTCGAACTCATGACCCTGAGATCAAGAGATAACGCTCTACTGACGGAGCCAGCCAGGTGCCCCTAAAGTATGCCACTTAAAAAAAAAAAAACCCAGGGGCGCCTGGGTGGCGCAGTCGGTTAAGCGTCCGACTTCAGCCAGGTCACGATCTCGCGGTCCGTGAGTTCGAGCCCCGCGTCGGGCTCTGGGCTGATGGCTCAGAGCCTGGAGCCTGTTTCCGATTCTGTGTCTCCCTCTCTCTCTGCCCCTCCCCCGTTCATGCTCTGTCTCTCTCTGTCCCAAAAATAAATAAACGTTGAAAAAAAATTTAAAAAAAAAAAAAAACCCAAATGATAGATTTTAATTGGGTTTTAATTCAATGATGGATTTTAGTTAAAACCTGATGACCAGGTGATCCTGGTTAACATTACCAGTGATGGGGCAGGTTGACATCACGTACTTCCTGACGTATGCAGCATCAGGTCTGTGGTGCGATCCCTGCCAAGAACGTACAGCCCGAGCCTTGTCATAAAGAACCATCAGACAGGGGGCGCCTGGGTGGCTCAGTCAGTTAAGCGTCCGACTCCGGCTCAGGTCATGATCTCACAGTTTGTGGGTTCGAGCCCCACGTCGGGCTCTGTGCCGACAGCTCGGAGCCTGGAGCCTGCTTCAGATTCTGTCTCCTTCTCTCTCTGCCCCTCCCCCACTGTGCTCTGTCTCTCAAAACTAAATAAACATAAAAAAAGTTTTAAAAAATTTTTTTTTAAATAAGAACCACCAGACCCAGTTTGCTGGTCATCCTGCAGATTGTAAGGTCTGTACTCTATAAAAATTTCAAGGATGTGAAAGACAGAGAAAGACTAAAGAACGGGTCTGGATTGGAGACCACAAACTAAACAACACATACTCCTAGGCAGGACCTCAAACCACAAAGGGAAAAAGTGACATTGTTGGCCAGCTGGCAACATTTGAATGGATGCATGTGGACGGGATGGTAATGTGATAGCAATACAGATTCCTGATTTGCAGAGTTATATGCTAGTTGTATGCTATTCTAGTAGGAAAATGATCTTGTCTGGGGGACTCTGGAGCGTTTAGGGGGCGATAGAACATCTAGCTCTCAAAAGATTCAGAGAAAGACCAATGATAATGGACATAGAGAGAAGGGTGAACCATGGAGCAAATGAGGTAAAATATGAACAATTGGGGGGTTCTGATTAAAGGGACTGGGGGAGCTCTTTGTATTGTTCTGACAATCCTTCTGTGGTCTGAAACGGTTTCAAAATAAATTATCACTTAAAACCTATAAATAGGAAATCAGAATTTACAGATAAATCAAGAGATCAACTACCCACTGCATAAAAACATACATCTTGGCTGTTCTACTAAAATACTGGGCCTGTTGTCAAATGTGACTTAATTTGTAAAAATTTGAATTACAGGCTTCTCTTCACCAGCCTACCCATTGCCTTAAGCAAGTTAATTCATATCGGGTCTTTCAAAAAGGAGAGATACTTTCCAAGATGCACCATGAAGTTTGAATTTTAAATACTAAGAGAGCCTAGAAAAATCTGCAGCTGGTAAGCCTGACAGTTTTTGCACCAAACATCGCCATCTGCTGGCAATAACAGACCATAACACGTGGTACTCTGCCCTAAGAAAATAAGGAACGATTTAAAACTCCTAAGGCACATTTGAGAGCAAAATGACAAACGCAGAAAGGTAAGTAAGTGGTGAAACCTACTTCCTCAATCCCCCGAACACTAATGAGCTATTCCGCTTCTTTACATCGCAGTTCTCACAAAACCACAGCAGGTAAACAAGTCCTTCGTGTTTACTACCGGAGGCACGAGCCGCAAAAGTAGAAACAAAACCAGACTTCTTGAATCCTGACGCAGGACCCCACGATGGATGTCACTCAAAGAATATTCACGCAGGGACTCAAAGAATGAAATGGGCAGACAGCTGGGGTTTCTTCTGGTCCAGGTGATTGCAACAGAGGGAGCAGCACCCCCTAAGGGGCATGATGAGGATGCGTAGGGGATACTTCAGGGATTAAGCAGCAGAGAAGGCGGGACCCACACGGCACTTCCCTGGGAGACGAGCACAACACAGAACTGAGTTGATCAACATCTCAGAAAATCATGCCCTCTCTCGGAAAGATGTGGAACTTGAGCTACCAATGGATGATATTCTCATATTCATCTGCATTCACAGCCCTGACATTTACAGTGATTAAACACATTGGTGCATGCATCTGACGGGGACTGAAATATGTACCGAAATACATGCTATTTTCTTAAACATTACTTTTTTTTCTTTTATATTATAGTTAGGATGTTATACTGATGTTTATTGAAACTAGGTGTACAGACAGGTTGAATCATCTAGTGTCTATAAATACGAATTTACAATAGTAAAGGCAGACAGAGAAAACATTTGATATTAAAATAAGACATCAGGGAGCCTGGGTGGCCCAGACAGTGGAGTGTCGGGATCTTGAGTTCCACTCTCAGGTCATGATCCCAGGGTCCTGGGATCGAGTCCCATGTCGGGCTCCACACTGAGCATGGAGCCTGATTAAGATTCTGATTCCCTCTCTCTCTCTCTCTCTCTCTCTCTCTCTCATCACTCCCTCTGCCCCTCTCCCCCACTCATGCTCTCTCTCTCTAAATTAAAAAAAAAGAGGACATCAGTCTGATAGGGTTGAGAACTACTGATCCATTTCAACTCTCTCATTTTATTACAGGGGAAACTGACATTCAGAGAACAAAACGAACTTGCTCAAGGTCACAGTATGAGCTTGAGGCAAGCCAGCACCAAAATTCTCTGCTTCTCAATTAGTTACTGGCCCATGCTGCCTACAAATCAACAATATGCTTTGGAGGGGGAACAAAAACCCAATGCTATAAATGTGGCTAGGATCCCCGGCCAACCCACAAATGAAGCTTATGTAAGTCACATACATAGCTAAGAGTAATGTGATTAGAATGAAGCCACAAAACCTTTGGTTCGTGGTATAAAAACGGTAAGTTTCTGGGGCGCCTGGGTGGCGCAGTCGGTTAAGCGTCTGACTTCAGCCAGGTCACGATCTCGCGGTCTGTGAGTTCGAGCCCCACGTCAGGCTCTGGGCTGATGGCTCAGAGCCTGGAGCCTGTTTCCGATTCTGTGTCTCCCTCTCTCTCTGCCCCTTGCCCGTTCATGCTCTGTCTCTCTCTGTCCCAAAAATAAATAAACATTGGAAAAAAAATTTTTTTTAAATAATAATAAATAAAAAAATTAAAAAAAAACGGTAAGTTTCTGAAATAAAAGTATTGTGAATCGTAATACGTAGCCTGGCATTCAAGGCCATTCAAAATCTCGCCCAAGTCTATCTTTCTAAACGTCCTACCAATACTATACAAACGATTAAAATCTGAGGTGTCAAACTGAATCTTTTGGGCCTTTAGGGACCCCAGCACCTAATCCCTGGCACATAAAATGCATTGACTATCATCTGATGAATGAATAAGCAAATGAAGACAATTTTCTTTCAATTGGACTTTTGTTCACTCTTCCCCATAGGTACTGTTCCCATGTACACTCTTATCCAGAAAGCCCTACCCTAGCTCCTCTCCAAATGCCTAAAATCTAGGTCTCTTAACTCAGTCCATTGGCCTTCCCACAATGCCTCACACTCCTCTCTTATAAAGCCTTCTTGGCCAATTCACCTGCCATAATTCCTTCCCATTTTAAACTCACACCATGTATTATAGAGGCTGCGTCAGGAGCCTGGACTCTCTAGTCAAACTAATCTTGGTTTATAATCCTTTACATTTGTAAAAGCCATTTGGCAAGTGGCTTTCCCTCTATGGGTCTCAGTTTTTATTTCTTTTTAAGTTTATTTCTTTATTTTGGGAGAGCGAGAGTGGGGGAAGGGCAGAGAGAGGGGAGAGA